TATGTGTGTGTGAGGCAAGCTCCATTTTGTCAAAATCCTGAGAAATGCTTAGTTCTACAAGCGCTGTATTAAAATGAGGCAGGGGCTCAGCAGCTCTCACAAGGCTGCAGCTTTTCCTCTGTGCAATTAAAATTGCTGCAGCAGACCCTGATGGACTGTCACTGCAGAAACCTCAGCTAGGCTGCCCTCTCAGGGAAGCTTTTTCTCATATAAGCAGAGAAGGATTTAATTGAACCAGGGAAACCTAAGGAATTGCAAACTAATCTCTACAGCCTTCTATTTCTTCCATAATATATATTATAAGGGGTTTTAAAGGTCAGACCTTGGCACAAAGAAAAATGCTACCATCAGACCTATTAGGAATAATGACTTTGTAAGAAATAAATTGACTGGGCTGTGAAGATATGATTTCCTTCCTTGGAATTGCTTAAGCTACAGGAATTGGAGAGTAAACATTTCATGCATTATGATCCTTTCCCAAGTCAATATTGTCCTTTCAATCCTGAATTTCAAATCCAATATTATCCTCCCTTAAACAAAGGCATGCTTGGAAATCAATGCTATTTATCTTGTCTACTGTAGCCATAAACACCAGTTTAATTTTTTGTTATAGATGAAAATGCTTGGAGACTGAAAACTGCAGAAAGACAAATTCTTCCTATTTTGCTGGCTCCTGGTGTCATTGCTGAGGGTGCATGACAACAGCCACCAACAAAATCACCATTTTCAAGTGGCAGCATTGCTCCTTGCACTATCTGACTATTGGGTTTTATCCTGTGCGTTAATAAATTTATAACTAAAAGAAAAACACAGCATTAAAAAAAAATTATTTTCAGGTTATAATCTGGGGTAAATTTTTTGTTGTTATGAAGCTTCTTTCAGGGTTGGTTTTTTTTCATGGTGTTCCAGGTAAATTATGGGATGTAATTAGAGTGATAGATCAGAGTAAGCTAGAGCAGAAAATATTATTTCAAAAAGTCCACACTGATTGGGGGGAGACTCATACTACATTTATCTATCTATCTATCTATCTATCTATCTATCTATCTATTCATCTATGTATTTATTTATTTATGTATGTATTTATTTATATAAATAAATAAAGAAATTTATTTATTTAAATAAATATAAATGAATATATATAAATTTATTTATATAAATATAAATAAATATAAAGAAATTTATTTATTTTCTGAGGAAACATCAGAAAAAAGACTTCTGAAGGATGCAGAGAAGACCAATAATGTTATTTGGGAGTCACTAAAAGCCTCTACAACATTAGTGCAGGTAGAGGTTTGGCCTTGCCTGTCAAGAACAACCCTTAAACATTCCATACTGGTTAATGAGGTCTCAAACCAGTTATCCCAGCATGGCCTCACTTCCCAGCTTCATGTCCTGCAGGGATGAGCATATCCAGGGCTTTTTCCATTTTCCCTTTTCCATGCCCCCCTCAGACGAGCTGGCTCTGGTGCTCTCAGATCCAGCAGAGAAATCACATTTTTCCCCAAAGAAAGTTCACTCCAGTGGCTTCCTCTGGGCAGGAACCATCTGGGACGTGTTTCAGGGACTCAGAGCAGTGATCAGGGTCTGGGGTTGAATAAACAAAAGGTAAATAGAAAATACCACACACGTGGTGAACATAAGCAGCAGAGCTACAGGCCCCACAGCACAGGAGCCCAGTTATTTTCTGAGCTTTGCAATGTTTTGCACTGTTTAAGGAGGCTGGGGTTGGGTTTTGGCTGCCCTTTCTGCTGTGTTGTGGTGAGCTCTCAGTAGTGGAAGTTACAACAGGAAACCAAAAAGGAACAAATAGGGCAAAGGCAGAAGTGATTGTTTCCTGAATATTCAGAGTTCAGCAAGTAGATTATTGAATTCTGTACCAGCCTGCAGTGCTCACCAGCTGTTCGTAACTATTATTTTATATATATATATATATATATATATAAATATAACTACAGTGTGTATTTACACACAGTAACTGCTCCCTGGAGGAGCAGGCATGCAGAAAAGTGAATTGCAAGTGTCTCTGTTTGAAATGCAGTCAGGTTCCTGCCCATGGACCCTCTGGGATTTCTCCATTGTGTTTGGACCCTTGGATCTGAAGATTTTCTTGATTGCCTGGACTTTGTTTTTGCTTGGGGTGGTTGTGGGCAGTCAAGGACAAAATCCACACTTGGACTTGTGACCTGGAGACAACAAAAGCCTCTGTGGGTTCTTTCTGATGTCATACAAAAGGCTGGGAAATTTCTGAAGCCTTTTGATCCAAGTTTAGATCACAGATTTAACTGCACAGTGGAGCAGAGCAACCCATGGGTCTTTTCAGTGGCACAAGTGTGGTACTTAGCATTCAGATGGGAACTGGTGGGTTGAGCCAAACCCAATTATTTGCAAATGAACCAGTGCCACACATCCTCAGGGGGAGGGCTGTAATACCAAGTGCTGGTTTGAAATGTCATCTTTTCTTTGGGAGAATTCTCTGTAGATGAAGTTAGCTATTTTCAATCTAATTTTAGACAATCAAAAATAGGAATTCACTGGAGTTAGCAGAGGAAATTTTAACTCTGATCATCAAAGGCATGGCAGATTTCAGCCTGCTCCATTTTGAAAGTCATGACAATGTGAAAAACATTCTTTTCACTAAGGTTTGGCATTGTAACCAGAGCTGGCACTCACGGGCGGTGCTTTAATTATACATTATACTAACCAGTGTGAAATACTGAGCCTTATTAAGATAGCCAAAAGCCTTCTTTAGAGTTGATTTATTAGAGCTTGAAATTAACTTTTCACAGTCCAGCTCCAAGAGATCAGCAGATACAGAAGCTCAGCTCTGCCTCCAGTGAGCTCCCCATGGTGATCTCCAGTGCTCTCTGCAGTCCCTCCCAGTGCCCAGACATGGTAAAACCCTGCTCAGCAGCAGCTCTCAGCCTCTCACCTCCATTGCAAACACCAGAGCTGACCCTGGGCTTGCCTGGAAGGGTTTCCTGGGAAAGTGGAGCTTTGGGAAGCCACCCTGGGCTTGCTGGGTGCTGGGTCTGTGGCTGCCCCAGGCTGGCTCTGCTGGAGCTGTTCCACCCTGGGGTGATTGCAGGTGAGCATTTGGGCTGCTCCTGACACAACAGTTGGTCAGGACATCTGGGATATCAGGAGAGTGTTAGGAATTGTTAAAGCGAGTCCATCATCTGCAGATCTCTGCCAGCTGAAAATGGGGAGGAGCTCCCAGCCTGATGGGATTTTAAATTTTTCTCTCAGCAACCTGAAAGCATTTTCACATTTCTAAACTCCCAGCTATCAGTTCTCTGACTAAATCCATGGATCTGGGGCTCCCACATCCTGTGCTTTGTTTCTGTTTGATGCTGCAAGGCAAGGCAGAGTTTGGAGCTCCAGGTGCTGCAAGATAAAACTTCCTCCTATTGAGGGTGGCAAAAATGGGGAGCAAGGCACTCAGTGAGGGAGAGGCTGGCACAACACCTGCAGTAAATCTGGATTTAAATGGTGCTGTGCTGGGAATGGTGTCCTGTCATACTTTGGGTTTCTTCTCCAATAGCACAGAAAAACGTTTTGGCTTTAAATTTGTCACCAGGATTGCTCAGGAGGAGTCACAGCTCTACACCTGTGCTTGTCCCCAGTGATTCTTTGAGGGTTTGGGCTCTGTGGGTACCAAGACAGCCCCAGCACAGGCAGTGGTGTCACAGCCCTGCCAGTGTGGCACAGGGGGCACCTCTGTTCATATTTTAGAAGTTGCTGTGTCATTCTTTCAGGTCACTGATGTATCCTGTCAGCTGGGTGGGAAAGGCCAAACCTCCAAGACCTTGCAAGGGAGTAGTTTGGGGGTCTCATCTCTGTTTTTTGGGGTTATTTAATGCCTCTGTTTGGCTTGAGCAGCCCTGGGCAGTTGTGTGTGATGAGCACCAGCCCTGGGGAAAGCAGGACCACATTAACCTGGGGTGGGGGAAGAGCAGAGAGGCAGAGCCCCCTTCTGCTTCCCCAGAGCTGGGCCCCATCAGGACTCTACTGCAGCCCCACATTTCTCTTCACAGAGAAAAGCAAGGCACAATTCTTCACAAGGATATTCTTATCTCATTTGCTGTGCCTGTGTTTGTGCCAAAGTAGAATGCAATGTGGAGATTGTTTACCCAGAGTGATGGTGTTTTGTTTCCTTGGCCTGTCAGGCCCAGGTGTGTGTGTGTGTTGGGACTGTTGGGGGACAGTCACGAGATTCTGGGCAGTGTGTGCAGGGTTGAGTGTTGGGAAGGATGAAAGTTTGACAAGAAAGTCTCACAGATATTTGTGCTCAGCAGAAAGATTTTTAAATGTTGAGTCTGATGAAGGAATAGAGATGGAAGCAAGTTTTGATATAGAAGAAAAGAATTACTGAGCCAGTCTGACTGGATAACCAAGGGTGTGTTAGTTAGAAGGGGTTTTATGGCTTAGAGCAAAGGATAAACCCACCCCAAACAAAAAGATGTTTTTACCAAGCAGGAAGAGAGCACAGGCAAACAAGGCAGCAAAGCTGCAAGTAGAAAAAAGGTCTCTGAATTTTCCACTGCAAGAAAACTGAAAAACAACTTCTAGCTTAAACTGTAATGTACTAACTTTGAGTGATTGGAGAACAGTAAAATGAATATGGTAATTACAGTAGTTATGATAGGCTATAGATAATAGTTAAGGTATAGATTGGTTCTCCTGTATTAAGATGCTCAGCAAAGTATAAAATGCATTGTAACCTAAACCAAAGGGTGTCCAGGCCTGCCTGCAGCTGGAGCTGGCAGCTGTGGGCACAGCTCTGTCACCCACAACCCTGGATGCTGTAACTCTTGGATGGAATAAACTGCATTTTGGAGAGCCCCTGGAGTCCCACATCCCTCATTCGGGCTCTTACAGTTGAGTGCTTGGCAGATTCTGTTTAGATGTAATGTAACACTGTGTAATACAGTATAGAATAATATAGCACAATAAAGTAATCATTCCCACTGAAATGCATGCCTGTGCTCTCCCTGCAGGTGACCTGTCTGCACGATTTCTTTGGGGATGATGATGTGTTCATCGCCTGCGGCCCCGAGAAGTTCCGCTATGCACAGGACGACTTTTCCCTGGACGAGAGCGGTAACACCAAACCCACCCTGAGCCTCTGCTGCACTGCCCTTCCCCTGCTCCTGCCTGGTCCCAGTGCTGCATGCTTCTGGGCTGGTTTATGAGACCCTGTACATGGAATTTAACTACAGGAATGTGTGTGTCCGTGTTCACAAGGGTCTCAGAGTGAGGGAAGAGACCAGGATCTGACTCCACGTTTCAGAAGGCTTGATTTATTATTTTATCATATATATTATATTAAAACTATACTAAAAGAATAGAAGAAAGGATTTCATCAGAAGGCTGGCTAAGAATAGAAAAGGAATGATAACAAAGGCCCGTGGCTCGGCTCTCTGTCCAAGCCAGCTGACTGTGATTGGCCATTAATTAGAAACATCCAACATGGGCCAATCCCAGATGCACCTGTTGCATTCCACAGCAGCAGATAATCACTGTTTACATTCTGTTCCTGAGGCCTCTCAGCTTCTCAGGAGGAAAACTCCTAAGGAAAGGATTTTTCAGAAAAGATGTCTGTGACAAATGTGTTTTCTGTTGATGGAGTGACAAAACTGTCCTTTGTCTCTTCAAAAAGGAAAGAAGCCCAGAAGTTTCTCTCTTTGAAAAAAGCCACTTCATAGGCTCAGGGGACAGAATTTCAAACTTAAGGATAGCTAATTGGACAGAAGCCAAAAAGTCTCACTTGGGCAATTTACTAGAAATAGAAGTGAACAAAGGAACTGATGGCTTTTGTGGGGTGTTTTACCAGGAGCAAGAACCTCCTGCACCTGGCTCGGTTTTTCTCTGTTTGTTATTTTGCCTTTTCTTAAACCTTTTTGTTTCCAACACTGCAACAGAAGCCATCCTGCTGATTTAATGCTTCCAAAGGCAGCTGAGCTATCTTGGGTGTGCTATAGACCTCCAAGAGCTCATGAGACCTGGCTCAAGAAGGCTGCTATAACATTTAACATCCTTTTGGGATACTCATCCAGTCAGCAGAATTATAATCAGGCAAATACTGACTGAGGTATAGTCAGAACAAATTAAGTCCTACAGAATTTTGACATTTACTGCAAAATCTGGGAGTGTTTATACTTTCAATTTTTTCCAGTCACATTCAGAGAGATGCATTTTTCTTGAGAATTAATCATCCTTATGTAGACATATGCATATTAAAAATGGAAACAAGCAACAGTTGAAAAAAAAAAATCACATTTCCACTGCTTACTTCTACTGATTCAAAAAGCAGGGCAATAATTCCCTTTTTGGGGGCATGGCTGGGACAGCACTGTTATTTTTCCTTGTCACCACTGCCAGTAGAAGTCTGTAATAATGTGAGTCTCTGTGATCAATTGCACCATGAAATCTTTGATTTTACAGAATATACAGAGATTGCTTGTAGGACTTACCACCCACCCCACCTGGCAACTGTACCCACCTGTCTGCAGGTGCCAGTGAGTGCAGCAAGAGGAAATTAATGTCATTTTAACCATTTAAACTGAAATAAAGTGCTCTCCAAGCATCTAGGCACACTTCCCAAAGCTCTAGGTGTGTTGTGTGAGGAACACAAGCCCCATCCTGTCCTATATGCTGCAAACTGGCTTTGTATTGAGGACCAAAGAGGATTTTTGCTGGATGCCAGGAAGCCAAGGAGCCTCTAATCTCCAAACACTGAGTTTTTTATTACTCCCTCGCAAGCCTGAGTTTATTTCAGTGCTTCTAAAGTGCTTCTTTAGGTACTTCTGACCTGTGTACTCCAGATGAACCCATTTGATGGTCTTGGGGTAATTCAAAGGAAGTTTCCAAGGTTCAGCTGAGCCTTTGCAGGCAGAGAATAAAGCCTGTGTCGGGCTGGGGAAGTGATCTGTAAGCTGAGCTTCACGGTGTTTTTCACCACTCAGCAGCTGAGTCAGCTCCACAGGGAGCTCCACGCTGGAAAACAGCTTGGATGCAGCCCTGGCAGAGCAACTGGATGGAAATCCCAGCCCTCTGCCTCCACTTCTGGGCACTGCTCACTTCTCCAGCTTGCATTTCTCTGGCAGAAGGAAGCCGAGTTTGCTGTTGGGAAGGCAGTGAGCAGCTCCAGGGGTGTTTTTGGAGGAGCCTTGCAGCTCGCAGGGAGCAGATGAGGAGCCTCAGCAGTGTTTCCCCATTGCACACCCATCACCCTTCCTCCTTCTGGAGCAGATGCTGCCAGGAGAGCTGCAAATCCTGAGCTTTTGCAGATGAGTGTCGCTGAATAAAATCTCCTCTGTCATGGGGGAATTTCTCCTGCCTGTTTGCATGACACACACCAGGATTGCTGGTTATTATGTTCACTCTGGCAGGACGTCAGGAAACAAAACAAGAAACAGCACAAGACAGGATTATGTCATCTTTTTCCTCCTGGCTGCCCACCACAGCTTCCACCCTCTAATCCTGCTGCTGAGCACCTTCCAGATGACATTGCTCTGTGCCTTTTGTACCCACTGGTTTCAGCATGGTGGAAATGTCACACTTTGGTGACATTTAGAGGCCTTTTCGCACCAAGCTCAGCACAGCCAGGTTTCCACCTCCTGCAAAAGCTCAGGGATTGCCTCTGACACTTGCCAAGGGCTGAGCTGGAGGAATTCCTCAGAGTCAGCCTTTCTGTGCTGGAAAATGCAAAGCCAGGTTTCCTTCCAAGGAATTACTCCCCTGGGAAGAGCATAAATTTGGAAGCTCTTGCAAAGACCTTACATGAAGTATTTTTATTTTTTGGTTTATTTTTTTTTTTAGTGAGTAATTCAGGTGACTAAACACAGCTGTCTGACACCCTTTGAGTCCCCTCACAACAGCAGAACTGCTCTTCATGTATAATAGAGCCCCAAAAAATTGGGGCTATATTGGGGCTGGACCTCTACAAGCCTTTCAAGTGACATCATCTGTGAGAATTCAAGTATTTTTGAAGGAAAAAAACCACAACCTTTTCTATCCCTAATTTACAGTTTAGAAAATTGATTTAGCAGGAGAGAAAATAAGCTGACTGTAGGTTTAATTCTTGCCATGCAGCATCCCTGGAGCACAAGGCCTCCTCTCCTGACATTCTTGTGCTGCATGGCCCAACAGCAAAACTCTCTCAAACCATCCAGAAGGAGCAGAAATGGAGCCTTGGCTGGCTGAGAATGAGCAAAGCCTGGGGAAAAATTGAAGGCAATTACATTTTTGTAGATACACTGATATATAATTAAATAACACATACATTTAGGTCAGACAGCTTGCTTTTGGTTGACCAATTATTTATCTGCTCTGTGCTGTCTTAATTCCATTGGGGACTCCATTCCAGGGGTCCTCAGTGTGGAACATGTGGGGCTGAGCTGAACTTTTCCATAAAAAGCTGCCTGCATGTGGAACACGTAATTCACATCTGGAAAAAAGACACATTTTTCACATCTTGGTGAGGACAAGCTGTTAGAGGAGATGAGGTGGAACCAGCTAACATTTGACAAAAAGGAAATCCCTTTTTTATTGCCTTCTTCTTAACTGGGTTAAGTTAATAACTTGAGGGGTGGAAAGTTCCTTTTCTGTTAGCTGTCAATGTAAATAAAACCCAGTTCTGAAGATCAGGCATGCCTGAAATCCTGGGACACGTGGAGGTTTGTTAGCATTTCAGTTCCCCTCTGCAGGACTCTGTAGACCATGTTTACATTTTCCACTCTTCCTGGCCTATTTAGTTTTTAAGGAAGCACAGTTGGGGTCCTCATCTGCTCACATCTTCCAGTACATAAATCTGCTGGGCTTGTTTACACAAACCTTGCTGAAAGGGATGAGTGGCCAGGACAGAGGATGTGCTTTGTGAAACCATTTTGTCTCCTTTGCTTTGAGCATCTGAAAAGTTGCAGCTTGTTGAGGACAGAAGAGGCTGGTTCCAGCTGGGTGAAAGCCTCCTGGGGCAGCTGCCCCATCTGCCACTTGGAGGCTTCATTTACAGCACACCAGGAGCTGTTTGCTGCCTTTCTGCACCTGCAGAAAGGGCACTCATCATTCCTGGGACTGGGTCTTCATGGGAGTTTGACCGTGTTCACAGGGGTCTCAGGTTTAGAGAAGAGATGAGGATCTGACTCCATGTTTCAGAAGGCTTGATTTATTATTTTATGGTATATATTATATTAAAACTATACTAAAAGAATAGAAGAAAGGATTTCCTCAGAAGGCTGGCTAAGGATAGAATAGGAAAGAAGAATGATAACAAAAGCTTCTGTCTCAGACAGAGAGTCCGAGCCAGCTGACTGTGATTGGCCATTGATTAGAAACAACCACATGAGCCAATCCCAGATGCACCTGTTGCATCCCACAGCAGCAGATAACCATTGGTTACATTTTGTTCCTGAGGCCTCTCAGCTTCTCAGGAGGACAAATCCTAAGGAAAGGGTTTTTCATAAAAGATGTCTGTGACATGGGAGGTTTACAGCAAATTAACTGGATTTTCTTGAGTGTTCCCTCAGTCAGTGTTGGCCATTTTCATTGTGCTCAGGAGAGCCAAGGGAAGGGCAGAAAATGTTTGGTGGGAGCCAGCCTGACAGCACAGAGCCTCAGCAGCTCCTCTAGAGCAGCAGAGCTGTTGTCTTTGCTCTCCCCTTGATGAGTCTCCTTTCAGCCCTGGAGAACAAGGGACCATGTCAGCTTTTCCCTTGCCCTTGGGATTCCCTGCATCTCTCTGGGGACCAGGCACTGAGCTGCCATGGCTGTTCCACAGCAGGGCCATAACCAGGTGGGTCTGTGTTCCCCCAGAGTGCCGGGTGATGAAGGGGAGCCCAGCAGGTGCCACGGGCAGCAAATCCTCTCCCACCCCTCAGAAGAGCTCGGCCAAGAGCCCCGCGCCCATGCGCCGCAGCAAGTCCCCGGCCGATTCAGGTAACCACCAAGATGGTGAGTGATTGTTTCTTGGTGTCTGCCTTTCACTGTGCTCCAGGGAAAAGCACAAACTCCCTGTGCTTGCTAAGGAAACTCAGGTGTCTCTTGGGAACAAGGAGCTAAGAAATATTGGGGAGGAATCTCCTGGTTGGTGAAGTGCGGTCGAGGCTTGAGGTTGTTCCAGCCATAGGCTCACAGCTCCTTCCCCAAAATGTTTTAAAAGAATTTTCTGTTCCCCAGGCAGGAAATCAAGGCCCACAGTGCTCTTAGATGGTCCCTGCAGATACAGAGTGATTTAGGGTAACCTCCTGTGCAAAGCAAATGGTGATTATTGCACAGGTCAGGAGTGGCTCCTCGCAATCGTTATTTAAAGGAGACCAGTGACCTTGCAATTGCAGAACTGCTGATGGGTTTATTGATGGGACACTGAGACACTCATTCAGTAATGGAAGAGAGGGAAAATGGGAATCCTAATTTGCTGCAGCAGCTTGCACCATTTGAAATGGTTCCCTCCTTCTGCAGCAGCACCTGGGTTGGCAGCACACGTGGGGAACTGCAGGGCCGTCAGTCCAAGGCTGGGCTGCATATTGCAGAAATTCTGGTAATTGACAGTCTTTAGAGTCATGGAGACTTTCTGGGGTTATGATTGATCTCTCACCTGCCTGCCTGTTCTGTTCCAAAGGAGAACCAGACATGGCCTCTGACTAAAATGGCCAAATCATCAATTAAACATGTCAGAGTTCCAGGAGAGCTTCACAGCTTGAGTTCAGGTGTCCCACACCATCAACACAGCTCATATAAACCAAAAATTCCTTTTCACCGTCATGCTAACATGCTGCATATTGCATGGGAACATCACACAACAGCTGATCATCAGTAGAAATGGGATTATTAGTCAGAAAATTCTCTTGGCAGTCGTCAGAAGGATTTCCCCCAGGAAGCAGTTCATTTATTTAGGGTGTGTGGGTGTTCTTCAGCTACCTAAAGGGACAGTGTGAAACTGGTTGGCACATGCCAAGACTCTGTATTTTTTTAAAGAACATTTCTTTCTGAGGTGATTTTGCATTCACAAAGTTTTTCTTCAAGATTCCATTGTTGGCTATTCTCAAACTCAGGCTTGCCATAATTTAACCATTTTCACAAGCCCAAATGCCTGCTGAAGCTGTGTAGGCACATTGAAGGCACAGTGGGAAATGTGATTTACAAAACCCAGAAGTAACACTCAGTGATGTGGGAGTCAGCTCATGCATGAGCAGCTTCAAACCTTCTCCACAAGCATCAGGTGCTGATTCCCACCAGCAGTAGAGTTTACTGCATGAGCATAGAGTTTAATATGAAATGGCAATTATTGTGTGCCTGATTTTAACTGATTGAGCGACTCCAGGCCCAGGATGGTGACTCATCTGATGAGCTTTAATGAACACTCTTAGCAGAGCTTTTCAGGGGGAATTAAGACAACCAGAAAGGCTGAACAATAACCAGTTCCTGGAGTAAAGGTCAGTAATGAAAAGCAAATCAGGTTTCTTTAATCCGTCCAGACAAGAGTCTTTCGTGCTTTCCTGTAATTTCAATAAAGGAAAAAATGGCACTTGTCCTGCTTAATGAGAATAAAAAAGACTGAGCTCTTTTAGTACTGAAAAATAGAAGACTCTTGTTTTCTCAGGGCAGAGAGAAAAAAGAATACTATTTTGTATTCCTGTATTGAACTGGTAATAAATTAAGTGGATTTACACATCTTTTAAGAACCAATATTTACATTTAGATGAGATTTTGGAGTTATCACATTCAAAAAGCAAAGAAAGCTGAATGAAGTCTGATTAATAAAATATGATCTGACCTATTTTTTCCCCCCAGAATCTCACCCATTTAATGTGTGAAACTATTTTAAAGCAGTTTTACTTCAAATATATGCAATATTTCTGCTGTGTGTTTGCTCTCCTACCCATTTGTACCTTTTTTCTTTGTTGTCTTTCCCTCTGCTGTGGTTGTCATGTGGAAACTCACGAGCGTTTCCTTGGTTTTGTGTTGTTTCTGTTCTTCCCAGCTCTTTTCTGTGCAGGTTTCTGTATCCTATTCTCCCACCAAGGTCTCCAAGGCCATTGTGACATATCTGGGCACTGATGTCTGGGCAGGTTTGGAGGGGAATCTTTGGGTGAGAGGAGTCTGAGCCCACGTCCCAGTGAGCCTCACTGTGGAAAGCTCAATCCCTTTAGGCAGCCAGAGCCCTTCAGTTCCCAGGATATCCAAAAAAGTGAGGTGGCAAATCCACAGAAGCAATTTAAACATTGTTTTCTTGGCACAGCACTTTTCTCTTACCATGCAGTCATTTAAATGAATGAATGAAAATTAAATTAATGAATGCAGAACAAAGAAGTGTCTCCCTGCTCCAAGGATGGGAACTCACCCCAAGCCTTGTATTCCCAAGGGAAATCCTTTCTCCTTTCCCTCACTAACACCCAACCCATATCTGTCCTTCCTAAGTAATGCCAGTGGATTTCTGGCAAAATTGGAGTTACAAAGCTTCTGTGTATTTCTAATCTCAATCTTTCTTCCTAGGGAGTCAGCTTTGCTAAAAGACCCAGCTCAGAGCAGTGAAATCCATACAAACCTCACCTGCAGGGCACCAGCCAATTCCTTCTCCTAACATGGCAGAGGAAAACTGGGCATGAGGAGCCTCTGTGCTTCTGCTCTGATCCATGAGATCTAAATGGAGGAGGGTCAGCATGAAGTTTGGCAGAATTTCTTTAACAGACTGCTCCAATAAGGAGTCAGGCTGAGCAAAAGCCAGAGCTAAACCTCAGGGGAGAAATACAGGAGAGAAAATAATGATGTCATTTACCATTCTTTCTTTGTTATAAAAACTTGAATTTATCTTACACAAACTGACGTGCCAAACAAGGGTTCAGTTGTATAAAAACATGTGTTGTGATGGGAGAGCTTATGATTATTAAAACCAGGACAGTCACAGGTACCTGAACTGAAATTTGAAAATGTCTTTGCCTTGATTTGGCCCGGGGAGAATATGAGCAGGGCTCTGAGGCTGCTGCAGGACCTTCATGTCTCAGTCCACTAATGGACAGAGGGACAAAAGCACATTCAGCAGGCAGCAGCAATTAGCAAACAGACCCAGAGTGTCCGTCTGTCCTGGCTGCAGGGCTGCTCCCAGGGGTCATTATGGATGAGTGTGTCCAAGGCAGCAGATGTCTGGGGAATGCCATGATGCCTCAGGTTTTGGCTTTTCCATTTTTCACATTCTGTGCTGCTTTAGTGTGTGGGTCTGGGTTTCATATGAGGGCATGCTGAGCTCTGTGCACAGAGCAGGGAGACAAAACAATTCCTGCTCCAGCTGGGCACCAAGGACAAATGATCCAAATCTCAGCCCCAAGAGCACAAACAACGTGGGCTGAGAGAGAAAAACAAGCAGGATGGGACTGCAGGGGCTAAAGCTGGAATTGGACAATGAACTCTGGATCCAGAGCCCCAGTCATCCCAGCAAACTTAAGCAATGCTCAGGGAACAATTCCATGTGAGAAAACTGCCTAAAAAGGGGCCTCAAAAAAGGCTGAAGAGGGACTTTTGACAAGGGCATAGAGTGATAGGACAAAGGGGAAATGGACTTAAGCTAAAGGAGGGCAGGCTTAGACATTAACAAGAAATTCTTTGCTGTGAGGGTGATGAGGCCCTGGCACAGGTGCCCAGAGCAGCTGGGGCTGCCCCTGGATCCCTGGAAATGCCCAAGGCCAGGCTGGACAGGGCTGGGAGCAGCCTGGGACAGGGGAAGGTGTCTCTGCCCATGGCAGGGGTGGGATGGGATGAGCTTTAAGATCCCTTCCAGCCCAAACCTTTCTGTGATTCTAAAATACCTGTGGGGGAAGCAGACAGAGAATTCAGTCTCCCTGGATCTCTCATCTCAAATATGACAGGAATATTCTCCATCCTCCCTCTCATGTGCTGGACAAGTCTGATTTCTCTCCTGAGTACAAACTGCCTCGTGCACAGGGGGAGGTGAGGATCCTGTGGAAAAAAGGTGCACATGCTCCTTCAATTAAAGAATATTACAGATACACTTTAAGGTAAATTGATGTTGCAGAACAAATTCAATGCCATGAATAAGCCATAATGTACAAAGAATAAAATGGTGGAAAACCCCCAAAGAATTGAAAGGAAAGCTGGTTCTAAAGAACAGTTCCTGATAGCTGAGTGTAGGTGAGATCCTGAGCTACCCTAAATCATCAGCAGATTTTAGTGGAGCAGCAGTGTTATGCACCACCTGGGACCTGCTCTTTGCCTCCTGTTATTTTCTTGCATTTCAGTTCAAAGGAAATGCAGGCAGGTTTGCTTATGAGCACTATTCTTCATTAGCAGGCAGAGAAAATTAAACTGGGCTTCTTCATTGTTGCTCCTGCTGCAAAATTCTGCTGTCTTTGTAATGATATCCATCCATCTCATTCTATTTCTGATCTGGATGTCACATCTGGTTTTTTTGTTGATGCTCATAAAATATTTACATGCCTGCTGTAGCACTTAAAACTCTCATTGTATTAGGGAATTTCTGTCCTGCCCTGCAGCAATCACATCCATTTTGCTGCACACTGGCTCTGCTGTTGTTCCAGTCTTGTTTGTAGAAAGGAAATTGGGGTTTCTTGCAGAGTTGTTAGGTGGCATTCTTCAGCTTAGGAAGGATCAGTGACAATTGGAGATAAAAAAAGAGGCATTTTAGAAATTGGAAATGGATTCTAGCTAATGGAGATTATATCAGTCCTCTTGTTCCCCATATTTTCTTTAATAGGAAACACAAATTCACTCAGTGAAATAAAACATAAAAGAGATCCAAGTTCTTTTTTACTGAATTGCCTTCATTATTTGGCATACAGTTATAAAGAACTCTACTTTTTTTTCCCACCAGCCTGGAGGGCAGCTCATTTTGTAGAGTGGCACAGCTCAGTGCAGGAGGCAGCAGGAAACAGCTCCTGCTTTTCCAGAACAGGTTGTTTCCCCTATCAATAAAGCATGGTTTGAGTGAGATAAGGAGGTGAAGTGTCACACTGTTCCCCAATTATCTATAAATCATTATTTCTTCCACCTTTTAAAAATATCCATTTCCTCACTTAGGTGCATTTGTGATAGGAAAAAAGCTGTGTGTGGTGAATAACCTCTTCCAACAGAGGAGGAAGTGCATGGAAATGATGGATGTGAAGGCAGAGGACCCACACCACCATGAATTTGCTGCTTTAAGGTGCTGGCAGCTCCTCCTTTGTCCCAGGGCTTTGAGCACATGTTTCTTTTCACACCTGCTTGACCTCTGCCTTTGCTGCAAACCTGAGCTGCTCCTGTTTCTCACAAGGAGGTAACAGAGGAGAGCACTGAGGTTTTCTGAGGCTTTAAAGTAAGAGTTGTGCTGGTTTGGCTCTTAAAAATACAACATTCACACATTTTACTCTATGATATTTTATACACTTCTTCAGTCTCCTCCAGACACTCAAGTACTTGATGAATTTTAAGTAACTGATTTGTAGATTCAGCTGTCACAATTGAAAGCATAATTCCATCAGGCTCTTTGGTCACTTAATCCTACCCACAGCAAACTACATCCAGGGCTTTCCATGCTGCTGTTTGTTTAATTTTTCATTTCTATAATTGACATCTCACCTTGCTTGGGTAGGATTCAGGATATCTTCAGCCTCTGGTTTCCAGTCATGCCCTTAAACAGTTTGAGAACACAAAAATTGTCTTTCTGTTTTTCTGGTGATATGTGCCTTGGATTGTCTTGGTGAGTATTTGTTGAGTGAAATATTGCTCCCTCAATTTATTTTGTATCTCACTGTATTTTGCAGCTGAAATCCTTGAGTTTTCTTTACAGCTATGCTGTTCACTTGGTTTGTTTGTTTTTTTCCTCCTGCCTAACATGAATAAACCATGGTGTTAAATGTTTGGAGGCCTTCCATCTCCCCAGAGGAGCAAAGCCTTCCCCTTGCTTGCCTGATTTCCAGCTTGTGTCTTGTTTCCTGCCAGCCAACGGGACCTCCAGCAGCCAGCTGTCCACCCCCAAGTCCAAGCAGTCCCCGATCTCCACGCCCACCAGCCCCGGGAGCCTCCGCAAGCACAAGGTATTACGTTTCTTATACCTTACTACACCTCCTTCTGCCTCAGCCCCTCAGCTCTGGGGGACCCTCAAGTCATGGCCATATCCTCTGGGAAAATAACAACTGTCGTAACGGCGGGAGAGATGCGACACACCATATGCGATGAATAGCAAATTTCGAAGTTTATTGAAAGCTTACACATTTTTATATTAGTGTTAATGAAGCTTATGCATATTGCAAAATCTGAGCTCGTTATTGGTTAAAGCACACTATAATCAAACACACCTACTTCTATCTCTTAACAATTATTTTGCTTCTATGTGTACATTCTTCTAATTTCTCTACCTTGGGATAACTACATTTTCTGGCAAGCAATTTTCTCCCCCGTCTTCCCGTTTTAGAGAAGGTCACTGTGACCTTCGTCAGTAATTAGGCACCGGTTGCTCAGTTCTCAGCTTGTTTCTCTTACCCTTATCCATCGGTATCACATCGGAATGTCTTTTCTCAGCTAACCAATAATCCAAAAAGCTCTCTACAAACAACAACTCCTGGTGTTCAGACAGGGGAATTGGCCCTTTACCTGTAAAAGTTGTCCTTTAGGGCATGGTGGTGAGCAAAGCACTGGCCTGAATGGCCCTGGAGTTGATAATGTGTGCTGGAGACCATCCAGAGGTGGATGGAGAGACCTTAACCATGAGTTTGTACCACTGTTTGAAAAAATCATTGATGGATGTGGTTTCATGTCAACCCTCCTGGCCTGAAAAGCTTCAAGTGTTGGCAAATCAGGCCCATTAAAGAGCAGAAGCAACACAAATGTTACTGGAGCTCTCAGACATCACTTTAATGATGCTCCTGAAGAATTTAAGTTTTTTTAAATTATTTAAGGCCATGCCCTGTTTTACAGGAAGCAGGTGATTCTTGCAGCTGGTGTGGTAATTGTGTTGTGGAACAGGCCAACAGGTAGCACAGCATCCTGGCAGGGACCAGGAAACCTGTGCTGGCTCATGGATAATTCATGTATTGATTTATTTAAAAGGTACAGCAGCTGTCACAGCTTCTTCAGTTCCTGTTATTCAGGGCCACTCTATGCTGAGTTCTGACTTTCATTTCTGTGGGCCTTTGCATTTCTGGAATAGCCACAATGCTGCTTCCAACAGTTTTCACTTGATACGGGAATTGGAGCTTGGGCACAAAAGTGGGTGAGAGAGGAAGTCAGGGGGGTTTCTCTTTAGTAAAACAGAATGCACCTCTCAGCCTGACTCTGAAAGCATTGACTCAAAGATTTTGAAGAGTAATTTAAAAATGCTGGTGATGCTGAGGTTTTTCAGTCAGCAGCCACATGGAACCCACCGTGGGGCAGCTTGCAGGGGTTGAACCAATTCTGTTTAACAAAGGCATAGCTGAATCCAAATGAAAACTGTGTTTTCCTCAGGACCTCACTCTGCTCTCAGCTGCTCAGTCTAAGTTTGAGAAAACACACCAAATTTAACACAATGTATCCAGATTTATTGTTCATTTATAATTGAGGACAGAATCTGGCCCATGGTCTGAGTTCATCAGTTGAGCAGAAGTAATGCTGCAAACTGCATCCTTTGCTTCAGCATTAGGAACAATAAACATTTTCCAAACTTTCCATCTCATTGAGAACTTTGGAGGTGAGGATTTGTTCCTTGGTCAAGACAAGTAAAACTCACCTTTTTAATGTTTTATGTATGTTTGCAGCTGGCTGATTTATGACCTTTCCAGTGCAGCCCTGAGACCATTTGTAATAGATGGTGACTGCTGAGGGCAAAGCCAACCCAGCTATGATTTTCTCCACTAAGTTAGGCCAATCAGCAAACACAAATTCAGCATTTTAGGTTACCAGAATATTCATGCATCATTGTCTTTCTTCCAGGAGCAATTTCCTGCTTATGATGAAATCACTTTTCTTTTTTCCCCTTAAAGCTCAAGTGATAAATGCTTAGGTTGAGCTCACCACAAAGTCCTATTTTACCTCTTCTTATATCAAGATTTCTGTGAATTTCCTTCCTGAATATCTGGGTTTTACTTCATTTTGCTCAGTTATTACCTGTGTGTGGGTCAGAGCTCAAAAAGATTCCAGGAGAACTCTTGAGCTCATTCCTGTACCTTGTCCCACACTGGACTTTAAACGAGTGGAATAAAATGATTACCCCAGAAAGGGACACTGGAAAAGCTTTTTATTGAGCATTTGATCCAAATAACAAACTTGGGATTATTTTATTAACCTTTCCAACTGATTATAAGTTACTTTAAAATAAAGAATAAACCATGGAACATGTGATTTTCCTGGAGATTTGTCCTGAGGGCAGCTGTCAAACCAAGGTAAGACTCTTTATTGTGGACTTAGGTTTAAAGAGGTGTGTTTAAGGCACGATGCTGCTCTTTCATGCATGTGCTGGAATGGCCACATTGATCCAGAACAATAAAAAAAACCATTTCTGAAACTTATCCCTGACCAATCAGGAACAGAGATGCTCTTGCTGGAATGGCCACATTGATCCAGAACAATAAAAAAAAACATTTCCGAAACTTATCCCTGACCAATCAGGAACAGAGATGCACTTGCTGGAATGGCCACATTGATACAGAACAATAAAAAAAAACATTTCTGAAACTTATCCCTGACCAATCAGGAACAGAGATGCTCTTGCTGGAATGGCCACATTGATACAGAACCATAAAAAAAACCATTTCTGAAACTTATCCCTGACCAATCAGGAACAGAGATGCACTTGCTGGAATGGCCAAATAGATACAGAACAATAAAAAACCCCTGAAACTCATCCCTGACCAATCATCAGGAACAGAGATACTCTTGCTCCTCTGTGCAAGGAGCCTGCCTTGGTTTTAGCCTGTTGCTCCCTGGATTCTGGTGATCCCAGCCCAGTCACCAGTGCACTCCACCCTCTGGAATGTGAATTTCAGCCTCTGGGCTGCCCAGAGCCACTCAGCTGCTTCCCTTTGCGTGGCCAAGGGTGGGAGCTGATGGTGAGGGTTAACATTTTCTCCTTTCTCCCTACAGGACTTGTACCTGCCTCTGTCTTTGGATGACTCGGATTCCCTGGGAGACTCCATGTAGAGTGAGATGTCCACGTTGCATTTGGGATACAGCAAAGTACCTCTGCCACACAAGCAGATCGGTGACTGGTGCTTTCAAGTCAAAGGACACACAGTTAAATGTCATTTTTGTTCTGTGATTTCTCCTCTCTGTGCCACAAACCAACACCTGCCAGTCTATAGAGATAGAGGGATACCATTCTTAGTCACAGGGGTGCAAAATGGGCATTGTGAGAAATTTGGGGCCTCCGTGCCAAGGATTCCGTGCATTTCCCATTTTCTTCTGTTGTTTCTTCTGCTGCTGCAACCATGTGGTTTTCCTGGTGTTAGTAAAGTAGCTCCCCTGGAGGTGTGCAAATGGAGCCCTTGCTGGGCAGTTTGCAGGCTGGAGCAGGGCAGATGATGCTCTCCACCTGTGCAAACTGCCAGCTCACCTGCTCCTCATTCACAGCCCCACTTTTGGCACCTGCATTCTAAAGAGTCTTGGTTTTATTGTGGAGAGCAGGAAGGGAATTTCTAGTTGGATGCTTAATATGCCAGCAGAAGCTTGGATGAGATTAGGAATGATTGTGTCAGATGCTAAGTAAGGTTAGTACAATAATTCAAATTATTCAAATATTGTTTGGGATTTTTTTAATAATTAAGTAAAAACCCCCATAAATCAGCTGAGTTATCTGGTGTAGAACATCTTCCACATGCAATGCTGCTAGCTGGTAACAAATATTTATACCTCCCCTATGGTATCTCTCTATCTCTGTTTGTAACAGTAATGCCTTGTGAACAGCCAACACTGAAAACACTGTGAGAATTTGTTTTCAGGTTTGACACCCTATAGGTCACTTTTTATAGCAAAAAAATCAATACACTTTTTATAAAGGAAAACCTTTTATCTGTGTTTTGGGAGTAAGGATTCAAGCTCCTTCTTTTTTATAAAAGCTGGTAATTTTCTTTTGTTTAAAAAACACGTTCAGGAAAAAAAAAAAAGTACAAAAAAAACCAACCACAACTGCAGAACAATAATAACAGCAACTCAGTTTAGAAATCCTGTCATCACTGCCAAAACAGACACGTGTAGGGGGGAAAAAATGGTCAATTCAAAATATTGAATGTTTTGATAGTTTTTGTAATGTTTAAGACTACGTATTTGGTTTTTTACACTTCAGTATTCCTAACTATGGCCAGATTCTCTACTTATATAACAAATGAAGTTTTGTGGTGTTCTAAAAACCTGTATTTTAAGAAACTCTTCTATCTGAGAAAAACAAACTCGCTGTATTTAGAGAAGCTTTTGCTTTTATTAATCAGTAATGCCTCCTCCAGAATGCAAAGTTCATCTCCTCACGCAGGCCTGGTGGTTTTTACTGCGCCAAAGCTTCGTCCTAGGCCAGCTGCCACTGCCTCCCTCCCTCATGGAATAAGCTTTGATGAAACTGATTCTTGCAGAACTTGACCTAAATGAAATCTGTGCAATCAAGCCTTTCTTTGTTGCTCTATTTGCTTTTTTTTTGCTTTTTTTTTTTCCAACATAGACACCTACTCCCTGTTGCCTTGCAACCCCTTGTGGTTAGGATGGATTTCATCCTTGTGATGTTTGATGCTCCACGAACGCTGGGTTGTTCCCAAAGCCACTCCAGGTTTTGTTTGCTTGCATTGCTGGGATGAAACAATCTGTGCAGGCTGCATCTTTTGAGGCTCTTGTGATCATACTTATAATGCAACTTTTTAAAAGAGATTCATCAGAGAGAGGCCAGGATTGGGAATTGTCAAGGGGTCAGAGTTATCATGCACCAAATTTGCACCCAGTAGTCTTAGTGCATGATCATTTACAGCCAGAGTTTTGCACAAGGGGCCATTTGTTCTCACTGATAGCTTCATTTGATTGAATAACTCTCTGACTGCACAACTGCTAAATGGTCATTTTAAATATTGTAAATAGAATCCTGGGGTTAGTTCACAGGCTAAGGGCTCGTTGAGGGTTTGTGGGGGGAAGGATGGTGCTGTGGACAAAGCTTGGGTGCAGCAGTCAGCACACCTCTAAGCCCTTGGCATTGCTGAATTTTGTGTCTGAATGGGAGCAGGTCTCTGAGTAACCCTGTGCCTCAATCTGTCTGTCTGTCCCTGCAGGGACAGCTCTGTTCTACCTCACTGGGGGTTGTGAGGCCAAATGTTGGTTAACATTTGTCAAGTGCTTTCAGATCCTCTAACAGAAGGTGCTGAAATATTCTGGGTGCAGATTTGGTTATGGGTGCTAATTTTTGGCTGTTTAATCCTGTGAGTGCTACTGTAGAAGCTGGTCATGAGCAAAAAGGACTTTTTTAAGCATAAGGATGTCAAAGGCCTTGGTTATGCTAATTACAATATTATTCATCAGAGCTTTTGTCTTAGGGAAAGCTTTAGTGGGACAGATTACTTAACATGCTTTTACCCTCTCCTCTGTTCTGCTGGTGGAAATCCCAGAGTCCCTCCCTGAGTCTCTGCCTCTCCAGGGACCCTGAGCAGTCACCACGGATGGACTGGAACTGCAGTCCAGGGTGTTGTCACACTGTGACAGAGGCCATCCCTGTCACAGTCAGGGTGAGCCTGTCCTGCCACCTTTCCTCAGACAGAGCAGGAGACCAGCCATGCAGTCCCAGCCAGGTTCTCATGCTGCTCAGTGCAGGATGCTCACCACAGATCCAGCAGGAAACCCAAATCTGGGCTGCTCTGGGCTCAGCAGCCTGAGCTGCTGGAGCTGCTGGTGGAAAGGAATCTGGGAGATGCTCTCACCCAGTTTGTGTAAGAGAAAGCAGGATCCCAAGGGAGGAATGATGCTTTGTTTGGATGCTTGTTGGGCAGGGCTTCCTTTCCTTCCTGCCAGAAGCTCTGTTTGGTTATTTGGAGATGCTTTTCCTGGTGGAGCATCACTGAGGAATCACTGAGCTCTTCCTCCTGAGCTGCACCTGGTGACACATCTCAGACCTGATCCTGCCAGCTCTCCCTTGGGAATGCAGCTTTGTTTGCATGAGGATCATCCTGTGGTGGGGCTGAGCCCAGCAATTCCTTCAGGGAATTAGGGGGACCTTGAAAAGGCCTAAAAGGATTAGAATTAATTGTTCAGTGGGAAAAATAGCCATTCAAACCAGCAGAAGCCACAAAGAAAACAGGGTATGAGGTCAGACTCCCAAGTTTTAAGAAGCAATTTTCTGGGTAGAAATGCCTGGGCAGTGGAAGTCAGTGAGCATTTCAGCTGTAGCATAGAGTGAAGTCTGTATTAATGCCAATATTGCATGAGTTCTTGTACAGAAATGCATGTGGAATGTTACATACATTCAGAACTAGTTACCTTTGGCTCTGTAGGATCCCTCATCTAGATTTGAATACAAAGAGAAACAGTGCACAGGCATCAGACCTTAGTTACTGAAACAGAAGAGCAGCTGTGATTCAGGAAAAAACCTAAAAGCTTAAATTTTAGCAAGTGCTTTACTCCTGCTGACTTTTCACGAGATTAAGCTTGGATTTGGTCAGAAAGCTTTCCTGAACTGCTGTGAATTAGTAATTACTTCCAATTTACTATGGCAATTCCAGACCCTGTGAGATCCTGGAGCAGATGATAGTAATTCCACTATATACTCCACAGTTCACCTTTCATATTGATTTTTTTTTTACATTTACAAGCACATAAACTCCACATGATATGAGGATTTGCCATATTAATTCTGCTATAAAAACCCTGTCTAATTTGCCTCATGAGGCTGCCTTTAGTGCTTTCAGAGACTAATTGAATCACTGAGACTATATTGTTTTAAAACAATACAGTATTTAAAAACAAAATGGAGAAACTCTTAAAATAGCAGGGCTTTGTTTCTTTGAAATCTGTCTTTATTCAGAATAATTTAGCAAATTTGCATATTAAGATCCCTGTTTCAGACACAGTCATTAGGAAGGAATAGTACATATAGAAGGGTTTAGCATTTTTACACTCAGGTGATGGTCTTGACTGTAGAAGATGAGAGGAATGCAGCAAAACCTTCAGCCTTGGGATTTTTATCACTTGTAAAGCATTTATAATCCTGAAGTTTCTGGTTTAAAGCCTCATCTGGTATATGATTTGGAGCTAGTTCAGTTCCACCAGCTAAATATCTTGAAGTGATTTGGAAAGAGTGTGATAATGAGATTTTACTTTGCAGTGGAAGTTGGAAGCAGCTTTTCCCTACCACTGTCTGTGTTTCCAGTATCTGCACATTATTTATTGTCTTCTCAGGAGCTAGAAACCTTAATTGTGTTATTTCCATCAATAATAGAATAATCCTGCTTAGAAAACAACTTCCACATCTCTCTCACCCTCAGCTAACACACGTGTAGGCATACAAAAATCCACACACTTGGTCGAGCTGCCATTTCTCTCTCATCTGCTTGTTCAGTACTTTTGAAGGGGAAAAAAAGGAGGCAGAACCAAAAACTGTGGCAAACAGCAAAGCAGTGTCACACCCAGGCATTTCCAATGGGAAGCAAGGGCATTAAAGTGTTCATTTCTCCTTATCCACATGAAGAACATTTCCTGGGATGCCTTTTCATGCCTTTGAGGTCAGTGCTGCTCTTCCTGCTGCCTCCCAGCACAGCGTGTGGGAGTGCTCTGGGATTCCAGGCTGGATCCCTACCCAGACACTGTTCCAGGGACAGCCATCCCTGGAAGTGACATCTTCTCTGCAGGGCCCAGTGTGGGTTTTGCAGCCTGAGCCTTCCCCAGCGTGCTGAGAGCACTGCAGTGATTTTGCTGCTGACCTCCCTGGTGCCCCACAGCCATGCAGAGCAACCAAGAGTTCTCTTCCACTGTAGTAGAGGCAGAAGCATTTTTAGAGAAAGGGATAAAAGATAGCCAAGTGAAGTAGATATAAAATTAGCCTAGAAAGTGTCTCCTCAAGCTAAGACAATCCATAACCAGAGAAAAGCTCTGTAGAGGTGTGTTTGCCACACACCAGGTGCTGATCATGACCACAATGGAATAAAACAGCTTTTTTTTCCTTGTGGTGACTTAGGCTCCAG